TGAGTGGCTCGTTTATTTTATTTTTTTTTATAGTCTGGTCTCACTATGTTGCCTAAGCTGGCCTCAAACTCTTAAACAATTAAATCTTAAATATGCCTCGGTTTCCTAAAGTTCTGGAATTTCAGGTATGAGCCACTGCACTTGACCTGGGGTTTCACTTTTAAAATATTGAAAGAGCTAGCCGGGCTCGGTGGCTCAACCTGTAATCCCACACCTTTGGGAGGCTGAGGTGAGTGGATTGCCTGAGCCCGTGGGTTTGAGACCCGCCTGGGCAGAGAGACCTCATCTCTACAATAAATCAAAAAATCAGCCAGGCGTGGTAGCACATGCCTGTAATTTCGGCTACTTGGAAGGCTGAGGCAGAAGGATTGCCGGAGCCCAGCAGGTCAAGGCTGCGGTGACCGGGAGTGGCCACTGCACTCCAGTCTGGGTGACAGGGTGAGACTCCAACTTGAAAAAAAAAAAAGAAAACAAGATTGAAAGAGCTGGGGAGATTCATAATGGTCCAAGACAGGAATGCATCCATAAACCCCTTAGTCCAAGACAGGAATGCATCCATAAACCCCTTTTGTCTAGATTTTTTTTTCTTTCTTTTTTTTTTTTTTTCTGGGACACACATCACAGAGGAAGGCTAGTCACTGGGGTTATCTAGATTTTTTAAAGGTGTTCATTTGAAATCCTCCTCATCTGATCCAAGATAACAAGATTTTTCTCTACAATTAACTGGCAATCAGGGATGCTGTGATTTGAATGTCCCATTCAAAATTCACGTTGAAACTTAATCTCCAAAGGGACAGTAGTCAGAAGGGGAACTTTTAAGAGGTGATTGGGTCATGAAGGCATTGTTCTTTTGATTGATTAATCCATTCATAGAATAATGGATTCATGGCTAATGGGTAATCGGGGAAGAGGAACTGGTTGCATTATAAGAAGTGAAACCTGGCAGGGCTTGGTGGCTCAACCTGTAATCCCAGCACTTTTGGAGGCGGAGGGGAGGGGATTGCATGAGCCCACGGGTTCGAGACCCACCCGGGCAATTTGACGAGACCTCGTCTCCACAATAAATCAAACATTAGCCAGACATGGTAGCACATACCTGTAATTCCAGCTACTTGGAAGACTGAGGTGGAAGGATCGCAGAAGCCCAGCAGGTCGAGTCTGCAGTGGCTGAGAGCATACCACTCCACTCTAGTCTGGGTGACAGAGTGAGACTCCAACTCAAAAAAAAAAAAGAAGTGAAATTTAAGGTATCATGTTCAGCCCTTTCACCATTGCTTTAGTTTGAATGTTTGTTTCCCCAAACCTCATGTTGCAATTTGATCCCCAATGCTGGGAGTGGAGCCCAATATAAGTGTTTAGGTCTGGAGCGTAGATCCCTCATTAATACACGATGTTCTGGGGGGTATGAGTGAGTTCTCACTGTATTCATTCCCACCAGTTCTGGGATAATACTTTGTTTTTGGTTGGTGTAATTGTTTTCTGAGACAGAGTCTGCCTTTGTCAACTAGGCTGAAGTGCAGTGGCACCATCATAGTTCACTGCACCTTCAGCATCCTGGGTTCAAAATTTTCTTCCAACTCAGCCTCCACAGTAGCTAGGAAAACAAGTATGTGCTCCCATGCTGGGCCAATTTTTAATTTTTTTTTTTTTAGACAAAGTCTCACTGTTGCTTAGGTTGGAGGGCAGCGGCACAATCCTGGCTTGCTACAGCTTTGGCCTCGTGAATTCGAGTGATCCTTCCATCTGAGCCTCTCTAATAGTTGTCATTATAGGTGCATGCCACCACACAGCTAATTTTTTTGATTTTTTTGTAAAGAAGAGTCTTACAATGTTTCCCAGGTTGATCTCAAACTCCTGGGCTCAAGCAATCCTCTTGGCTGCCTTGGCCACCCAAAGTACTGATTTAATTGGCATGAACCACCATGCCTGGCCTAAATGTTTTTGCTTTTATAAAAATGATTTTGCTGTATTGCCCAGACTAGTCTTAACCTCTATGCATCAAGCAATCCTCTCAACTCAGACACTGAAATTGCTGAGATTACAAGCGTGAGTCACTGTGCCTAACAAGATGTAGTTGTTAATGTTAAGGATGGGCACAGTGGCTTACACCTGCAATATACCCATTTTGGGAGACAAAGGTGGGAGAATCACCAGGAATTGAGGCAGTAGTGAACCACGATCATGCCACTGCACACCAGCCTGGACAACAGCGTGAGACCCAATCATTAACAAAACAAAACAAAAAGCTGTGAGCTAGGTCTCTGCTCCCTTTTGGCTTCAGGTGTATCTATACAGCTTTACGGCTTCTAATCTTGACTTAATCAACTAAAATCAACTTATCAATTCCACAAGTGGGAATTAACGAAAATGCTTTCTCATTGTGTACAATTTCAACAGAAGAGCCATAACAATATTGAGTAGATCTCAAAGAAGAGTTCCTTAGCAAATTTTCAATACATGGAGTTTTTCTAATTGAAAAATGTTAGCCAGATGAGGTGATTCATGCCTGTAATACTAGCACTTTGGCAGACATAGGTGACCAGATTGGCTGAGCCCAAGGGTTCCAAACCAGTTTGGGCAACTTGGCAAGAACTTGTCTCTATAATAAATAATTTTTTAAAATTAGCCGGGTGTGGTGGTTCATGCCTATAGTTTAGCTACTTGGAAGACTGAGGTGGAAGGATTGCCTGAGCACAGTAGGTCGAGACTGCAGTGGCCATGAGCATGTCACTACACTCCAGCCTGGGCAACAGAGTGAGACTCAGAATCACACCAAAAAAATGTTTCTGGTAATTTAGTAAAACAAAACAAGGAATGATCTTCAAAGCAAAGAGGTTCCTATGCATGCAGGACATAGTTCCAGCACAAAAGGCCACAGGGACAGTATGAAGGCTCCAGTGGGCTATCTCAGGCTTCTTCTAGGGCATCGACTGAAGATGGATGTGCTATGGCCCAGGAGACAGGCTGGTGTTCCTTTACTTTGCAGGTTCCTCCATATCACAAATCTTGGTTTTCAGCAGCTTGTGGGGGCAGCCTTGACTCAGAGAGGAGCCCTGGGTGTTGTCATCTAAACCCCTGCCCAGGTGGTGGCATGTCCTGGTTGGTTTCAAACCCATCGGACCTCTCTGTTGGTAGCATCTGCGGTTGGCTCCTGGACATGTGCTTCTTGACAGCGTTTTTGGGTCCTCTCAACTCCAGAAACAACTGTGAGTCTGGTGGATGCCCAGCTAAGCAGCCTGAAAGAATTAGTCTACATTCCCTCAGAGATGAGGATGCTGGCAGGAATTCGGTTCATTGTAGTAAAGTTATCAAATGCCCAGGTCCAGGCCTGCTCTTGGAAGGAGGAGTGATAAGGGACACATAACTACACACTGAGTGTGAGTTCCACTATTGGGGAGCCCAAACCTCACTTGCACACAATTTACTTATGTAGAAATCCTCCCATGTACCCCAAACTCTAAAATAAAATAAAATAAACTGTACATTTTAACAATGTCTTTTGTCTTTTCTTTTAGCAACCCTGAAAAAATTAATTTCGATTCCCTTCCCTGTATCACAGATTATCTCAAAGCACAGGCTAGGACTAGAACCAGACAAGAATTTGAATAATTTGTGGAAAGCAGGGAGAAGAAGAATGTATTACTTTCTCCTCTCCTTCTCCAATCAGATTCCACTACTGTAGGGAAAGGAATCTAAGTTTAATTGTCCTCTGAACACCTGTACCTCCAACACTCTATGAACGGAGAGAAGCAAATGGAAAGCTCAGCTAGTTCTCAAAGCATTAAAAAAGAATATTCCCAACTCCTGCCCCTTACCCTTATTTTCTGGGTCTCCCTCTCATCTACCTTCTGTCTGCTGACTATCCACTCTTTCCTCTTGGTAAAGAAAGCTACTCCTACTACCTAGCCTTGAAGTTCATCTTTGAAGTCTTAGAACCTTTCCTTCTTCCAGGACATGCATCCTATTCTATCAAAATTGAGGCAGCTTTGTTATCAACAAAGTAACCATATGTCTGAGTTTCATCACAAAGTTTTACTTCACGTATTCTATCCTCTATTCCCAAAGTGCTCCCTTAAAACTAATGGCTTCCATTGTTATTCAAAAAATGTGTGTCACTAAATTTCCCAGGCCTTGGGTCAGGTTCAGAGTCCAACTTCTTATCTCTACAACTGACTGAGGCAACAGACCTCTGGGAAGGAGAAGAGAATCACACTTTAAAAGCTCTAGCACTGATCTGGTCTTCTGATCTACTGAGCTGATCATAATTACTCAGTTTTGCTATCAGCTTCCATGCTGTGAGCAATTCTAGATGTTGAAATGCAATTACACACTTGTGCAAGTACAGAACAAGCCCACTGAAAATGTTGCTACACCGGGGAGAAACTGGAGAGTTGGGCCTTTTCGTCCCTTCAGAATGTTCTATTTAAGCAGAGAATTACTTATTCTTATTGACCAGTTTGAATTATTGACAGAAAACAAACCAGAACTTCCTATTTGTGTTTTTAAATCCATTTACAATGCATTTACTCAGAGGCAGCAATATCTCACCCCCTTACCCCCCTAAAAAGCAAGAACTCTAGGAAAAGGCCCTCTTACCTTGAAGAATTTCTCTTTTAGCCACTGTCTAGATAACTAGACAATATTCCACCTCTCCGATAGAAAAACCATGTAATTCAAAGGAATTTGAATCAGAGGGAAATGACTTCATATGCAAATCCCTGGTATATTCCAGACTAGAAATTCTTACTGTTACCTTTTGCTGAAGCCTACTGGCTGTGATGCATTCTTTGAGGCATGTATATTTCATATTTAACAAACCTTGGAAAAGAGATATTACATAAATGCCCTATTGCTCAGGTAAAGAAAATAAGATTTTATAGTCAGTAAACACCCATGTACACAAATTCTGTATGCACTCTTACTCCCCATCCTTTATTGAAGAATTTCTAGAAACATCAGGTACACATGGCAAAATGATATATTTTTTTTTAACTTACCTTTTTCCCAAATGGGCACCTTGGCTTTTAAAGTATCAATGGCATAGCTCACAGCTTCAAGAGATGCAGCCCTGTGGGCTGAGGACACAGCAATGATTATGCTTGCTTCTGACACTGGAATCAAGCTTTAACAAGATGAAGAATAAAAATTACCATCACCTCCTAATCTATGTGTTAAATAATCTGCTAGGCACATTAAAAAAAAAAAAAAAAAAAAAAAAAAAAACCAGTTACACATTCTTAGAACTATGCAGTAGTTCTACTTTACTTAAATATCCCATTCAGTTAGAAAACATTAACTCATCCCAGTTATGTTCAGCAGAGGAGATGCTGAGACTGATGTTGAGTCTAGTTTGTCAGCATCTATCCACTAAACCATTTAATGGGCATGAAGATGGAGGAGTCCTTTCATTGACTCAGCAAACATCAGCCTCAAACAAGGTACAAAGCCAAGTAATGCCTAGAGGTACAAAGTTACAACACCTGACAAGTATAACAAAGAATTTAGAAAACTAAATAGCAATAAGTGCTAATTAACAGGACTGATAATATTAATCATTAATAAAACTACTAGTTATTAATAAATTTATAGTTATTAATAGCAAAATAATAACTAATCGAATATGATAGATGAGGTCTAAATAGTTGGTTTCTTTTTAAAGTCCAGAAATCTTCTCTTTTTAGTGATACAAAAAGTAAACTACTTTAATGGTGTTCAAAGGCATTTATATAAAAATAATCTATAACAGACTGTCATATGAACAGAGTCCAGACAACAAAACAACTTTCGAGAGGCCTCAAGGCCTTCAGCACACATTAGCAAAGGCCCTGAGGTCCAGGGCCTGAAAATCTTGGCACATGTGCACTTTGTTACAGCACCAAGGGCAATATCAGTTTGCCCAATATTACAACCCAACAAGCAGTCACTGAAAGCACCGAGAACCATCCCTTCTGTCCTCCAGAAATAACATACAAACCTTTCTAGTGGTAGTATAGAATTTTTAAGAAAGATTCAAGAACCAGAAGCAGCACAAAGATGGAAAACAACTATACTTAACTTCTAAATTGATAAAGGAAATCATACCCAAGTCTATGGAACACTGCTATGTGTTTGACTGGTCATTTCTGCCTAATGTCACTACAAATCTTTCTTACTTTATTTTCCATCATGGGTAGATAGGCTTCATAATCTAAGCTAATGACTTTTTTCCCTCAAAGTTATTTCTTGTAGTCCCTAAAAAAAAAGCAAAAAAAGAAATTATTAAAATAAGGCCTTTCCTATAATAGAAATAGCACATTAATATAATAAATTATTTTTGAATAGTAAACCAGCAAAACAACTTATCTAAAAATTATCTTGAAATATTCTAAAAGCAAGACTTGATTAGAAAACAAAAATTATTACAAACGTGATAAGGAAATAAAATAATACTGGTGAAGCAAGCTTATTGAAAACACATATGACAAACTAGGTCATATGCCTTTTCTGACTAACATTTAGCATTTGATATTTACAAGGAAAATATTTATGTTCTAGGACTATTATCAAGTACACTTTCCCTTCAATATGTGGAAAATATTGAACCGTCTCTGCTAACATGACTTTTATCTTACTTCTTAAAATGTTTTGCAGTTTAATACAAGTTAATTTGCAGGTTACCAAAGCAAATAAAACAAGAACCAAAAAATTATCTACCCACCACTATGAGTAATCTTGGTTTATTGCTCAGTATCCTAAAATCTTCTATTAACACTGAACATGAAAAGCACTTGCTAATTTCTATTTGTCTTGTGCAATCACAGACATGCTGTGAAAATTATACTCACCTACAAACAGGGATACTGCACCACAGAGTGGAGAAATCACCAACTGTGAGACTTCGTCTACTGAAAGTTTCTCGGCAGTGAATTTTATTACATCTTTAGATTTCTCTTCAACTTCATCCATATCTTTCCCACAAACCAGATGTTAATAAGCCTTAACACTAGTCCTGGGGTGAAACACTCAACTTACAAATTTTCAATTTACATTTTTTCCTACATCATGTTGACCTAAAAGGAAGAGGCTGCAGCACAAAATATGAGGGAAACACCCAAAAATCTGAATTATCTTTTGGAGGGCAGGCCCCTTGTAGTACACTTGAAATTTATTTCTCGAGCTGAAACAGTCAACCAAAGTTCTTATCTAGATGTTTTGAGAAGGTTGCATCACGATTTGCAGGAGAAATGTCCTGAGTTTTGGGAAACAGGTGACTGGTTCTTCTATAATGACAATGCACCTGCCCACACCATGCTGTGTGTTCAACAGTTTTTGACCAAAAAAAGGGCATAATCCCTATCCTCCCTATTTACCGATCCCCCCCCAGCAACTTTTTTTTGTTTCCCCAGATGAAAAGAATTCCTTCAAAGGAAAATATTTTGCTGATGTGGAAGAGCTAAAATAAAAAATGACAGAAACACTAAAAGGCATCAAAATTGACAATGTCAAAAACTGTTTTGAGCAGTGGAAAAGGAATCTTGATAAACAAATGAGTACTTTGAAGGTGACTAAAGTTTAAACATGCAAGAATACACAATTTTTTATAAATAATTTTGGTTTGTTGGTCCCCCTAAACATATAATTTGAAAAGTTTCTGAAGCCAAAATTAGTACAGCTGCCCTGGACACTTGCAAGTTGCCCTGGAGAGTGCTCCATCAGCATTTGTTGCAAGAAGGTTTTTAAAGGCAAATGGAACAAGGAGCGGACTGATAAAAAGCTGTTCATCAGGAATTCTCATTGGTTTACAGATATAACACTGATAAGTGATTGGCTATACGCTGTTGAACTATGGAGCATGTGTTATGATGTCCAGAGTATGATATTTCACAGCTATGTGGCATCAGTTAGTCTGGAGCCCACCTGGCAAATGGCTTCAAGAGATTACTCAGAGAGATTTACTCAGCTCAAGGGGGAGTGAGATATGACTGCCATTTCATCCCAATGTCTTTCCAGGCCTAATAATTTAAAGGGGCTCACATTCCTCAGATCAGAAATTTATTTTCTTCCTCCCACTAAATTATATGTGTTAGAAGGCATGATGGATCTGAAAGATAAAAATAAGCCAGTGTAAAATGCTAGCAAATTTGGATATATTTATAAATATGTCAAATGAATGAGGCATGATATAAAAAGGAATTCACCATTACATGATCACTAGAATGTAATCTATCTCGTATGTCAGTTTATTACCAATTCCACAAACAATATTCATATCTCCCATCATGGTATAGTTGAGATAGTGCCACCTTCATCCACATGGCCAGCCTCTCTGATCACTATGTTACCAAGCACCATACCTAAAACTGCCTTTACCTTTATCCAAAAAGAGGGGATTTGCAGAAGTCATGGTGATTCTACAGGAACTGGGTTCCTTTCTCAAGCTGACAGAAGCCCAGGCAAGGAACTGAGGAAATAAGGAAACAAACTACACACCTATTTACCAGGTGTTATGCAAAGCCCTTTGCCATGTATGCCTCTTTAAACATCATTCCATACTCACCTAAGGGACATTATTGCATACTTAGTAAGGATCAGAGACTAAGGCCAGGCACTAGATATGAAAAAGGGAATAAAAGCAAGACTCCTAACCCCAGGGTGCGTGTATATGAAAGGGAGAAACAAAGTAACAAATAAGAATTACAAATAAGGAAAACTTCTGGACATAAAAAAGATTCTGAGACAGAGCACAGGGGCTGGGGAAGAGGCTACTTGAGATAAGGGAATCAGGAAGGTCTCTCTCAAGAGGCAATATTAAAAGCTGAGATCTGAGAGACAAGAAGGCAGCCATGTAAAGAAACAAAAGATGTGACTGGCCCTCAGGCAGAGAGAGGGAATGGCAAATGCAGAGGTTCTTGGGGGCAAGAAAGAACATGCTGTGATCCAGAACCTACAAACAAGGGAGAGGACAGGACGCACCGAGGCTAGACAGTAGGTAGGACCTTGTAGGCCATGAGAAGTATAATTACAACTCCTGTGAGGTTTCATCTGAATTGAAAGACGAGAGAAAGAAAGCTCACAGAAATTAAGGACTCACTCAAGGTACTGAAATTCCAAGCAAGAAATCTTAATAAATCCAAAGTTACTTTACCTATCTCCTGCCAACCATTGAAAAGAAAATCACAATTATTCATATACCACTGGACTCCAGAATTTTCACCTGCTGTACAAGCCACTTAAGCTTCTTTCACCTCTTTTTCTTGCAATAAGGCATAGGTAAGCTAAATATGGTCTATGGGCTTCAAAACATACTGAGTTCCCCCAACTTCTGACTCTTCAAGACTACTAAAATCTAACTGGCAGGCTCTAAATTTACTTAATATGAATCCTTCCAAGCACACTCAAAAGACACAGAAAGCTTTTGAGTAATATTTTGAATATTTCCAAAGAACAGCAGTAATCGTCGCAAACACCACCTTAATGGAAGCCTATAGTTTTCTGAAAATTTCCAACTCTTAGCATTTTAGAACCTCCTGAAATCATAGTGGTGATATTGTGAACAAAGTTTCTAAATAAAATTGTGGACGCTTTTTTGTCCTCTCAATAAATCCTGCTTTTCCATGGAAATAAATAAATAATAAAATTGAGATACATATCTAGCAAGGAATTCTGTTATTTCCAGAGAGTAAGTCTGAGAAAGAACACTAAATGGCAACATGTGAGTCAATTTGCTACTCCTCATATTCCTCCTCCTCATCCTTCTCCTCCTCCTCCTCCTCCTTTCGTGGCATAACCCTCAAGGAAGGTGGGGGAAAATGGGTGAAAAAATAAGAAAACATCCTTGACTTATTTCCTCTTGATTTTGGGTAAAAATACTGTCAAATTAAGAAAGTTTTCTTTCATTCCTAACTTGGAATGAAGATGACTGCTAATTTCTATATTATTTATTCTTTAGTTGATAATAAATAAATTATGCCTCATTCTGTGTGCACATAGGCATAATCTCTCCAGACTACACAAAAAATGTCCTTGCACATTCTCCTCCTCCTCCTCCTGCTCCTCCTCTTCTTTCTCCAACTCCTTCTCCTCTTCATTCTTCTTCTTTTGTGGCATAATCCTCAAGGATGGTGGGGAAATTTGGTAAAAAAAATAAAAAGGCATCCTTGGCTTGTTCCTTTCTCTAATGGAACCAAGTTTTTACCATTAAAAATAATATTTACTCTTGAATAGGGTAAAAATCCTGTCAAATTAAAATTTCATTCCTAACTTACAAGAGTTTTTGATTCAAGATGACTGCTAATTTCTACATTATTTACTCCTTAGTTAATAAATTATGCCTCATTCTGTATGCACATAAGCATGATCTCTCCACACTACACAGAAAAATGTCCTTGAGCAATATCTGAAATGCATGTGCCATAAGAGATAAGATAGACAAGTGGGATCTCATTAAACTGACAAGCTTCTGCAAAGTCTAAGAAACCAAGAGAAGAGGGAGACAGCCCACAGACTGGGAAAATGTATTTGCCAACTCCATGTCTGACAAAGGCCTAACATCTTGGATCTACAAGGAACTCAAATGTGCTGGGAAGAAAAAAACAAACAACCCCATTACAAAGTGGGCAAAAGATATGAACAGACACTTCTCAAAGAAAGACATCTGAGTGGCCAACAGACACATGAAGAAATTTTCAACCTCACTAGTTATCAAGGAGATGCAAATCAAAACTACACTGAGATACCACCTAACTCCAGTCAGAATGGTAATTATCAATAACTCAAAAAATAACAGATGTGGGAGAGGATGTGGTGAAAAAGGAACACTTCTACACATTGATGGGAGTGTAAACTAGTGCAACCTCTGTGGAAAGCACTGTGGCAATTCCTAAAAGCTCTAAATATCAACCTCCAATATGACCCCACAATCCCCCTACTGGGAATATACCCTGAATAACTCAAATCACTCTATAAAAAAGATACCTGCACACATATGTTTATCACAGCATTGTTCACAATAGCAAGGACCTGGAACCAACCATGCTATCCATCAAAAGTGGACTTGATTAAAAAAGGTGGTACATATACACGATGGAATACTATGCAGCCATAAAAAAGAACAAAATCATGAATTTTGCAGCAAACTAGATGGAACTAGAGTCTATAATACTGAGTGATCTCTCACAGAAACAAAGATCGGAGTATCACATGTTCTCACTCATGTAGTGGACCTGGAAATTCTATCATAATACTACAAGAAGAGGACTGACAGGGGTGGAAAACCATAAGGGGGGGTAGAGAGGGGAAGGAAGGTGGGACTAATGATAGTCAATATCTGTCTGGGGACGGGGAGACACCCGTTATCAACAAGGGTGCCTGAACGATGCACATTTGTAAACCTAACACTTAACTGTACAACACAATTTTAAAATAAAAAATATGTTTAAAATTTTAAAAACGTTTTCTTTCATTACTACCTTACAAGAGTTTTTATCTCAAGATAAGTGCTAATTTCTCCATGATTTATTCTTAAGTTGATAAAAAATTATGCCTCATTCTGTCTGCACATACGGATGGTCTCTCCAGACTACACAGAAAAACGTCTTGCACATTCTCCTCCTCTGACTCCTCCTACTCCTTCTTCTTCTTTTGTGGCATAACCCTCAAGGATGGTGGGTAAAATGGGTAAAAAAAATAAAAAGGCATCCTTGACTTGTTTCTTACCCTACTGGAACCAAGTTTTTACCATTAACTATGAAACTTACTCTTGATTTGAGCTAAAAATCGTGTCAAATTAAGAAAGTTTCTTTCATTCCCAATTTACAAAAGTTGTTCATTTAAGATGACTGATGATTTTTAGATGATTTATTCCTTAGTGAACAACATATTAAAGCTCTTTCTGTCTGCACATAAGCATGATTTCTCCATACTACACAGGAAAATGTCCATGCACATTATCCTTCACCTCCAGCTACTC